TTTAAATATCAATATTGCTGTGATTGACAGTAATATTAACTATATTACTTTTAAACACAGTAAAATTAACTATACAACAGTTTAACACAATAATATTGTTATGTTAATCTCTAGCACAGTAATATTAACACAACAAAATCATTAATATTGTGTAATAGAGTAATGTTAATATGTTGACCGTTCAACAAATGTAAGCATCATAAAAAGCCAAAGTAATTAATATTACTGTGAGTGAGAGTAATATTACTGTCAACCACATTAATATTACAATAATAGACAGTAATATTATTACATTAATCTGTGAATAACTCTAACAAAAGAAAAAAAAACCCAAAAAAAGTAATAATATTGATGTGGTTGACAGTAATATTACTATAACAACAGTAATATTACCGTCAACCACAGTAATATTATTGTATTTACAGTAATATTACAATAATAGACAGTAATATTATTACGTTACTCCGTGAATAACTCAAACAAAACAAAAAAACCCAAAAAAATAATTATATTGATGTGGTTGACAGTAATATTGTTGTGTTTACAGTTATTTTAATGTTAATGACAATAATATAATTACGTTGACTTGTCAACAAATCAAACAAAAAAAAATTAATAATAAATAATAATACTGTAATTGACTCTAATTGTACTGTCAACGGCAGTACAATTACATAAATGTATTGTCAACGGCAGTACAATTACGTTAATGTATTGTCAATGACAGTATAATTACGTTAGTTTACTGTCAGTGAAAGTATAATTATCGTTAATGACAACACAATTACAGTCAACGTTTAGCGGCGGGCGTAAAAAAAAACACCAAAAAAAGTCAACACCGGAATACAGCGGTGGAAAAAACAGACCAGAAAGCAAAAAAAAAAAAAAAAAAAGTCAACGCCAAAATCCGGCGGCAAAAATATATTTTTTGAAAAAAACAAATTTAGAAAAACAAAATGTCAAAATTGGATTTTTGTGGTCAAAATTGATTAAATTGGGGTTACAATTTAAAATTCGGTGTAAATGGTTGGGGGTAATTTTGTAATATACATGAATTTTCCTTTATTTATAATAAATATTAAACGGATGCGTTTATTGGTGAAACAAATATATCCCCTAAACCTAGAATAATAAAGATACTTGGTTATAGACTTATGCACAAAAACCCCTTATATTAAATGAAATGAAATAATAAAAATAAATAATTAAATAAATAAATGACAATCATAACAATCAAATGAGTGAGAAATTTTTTCTAGAGTTTACTAGGGACAACCGTACTTTTATTAATAAGATACGTGGATTTGAATGTATTTATTAAACTTTATTATACTAAATGAAATGAAATGCTAAAAATAAATAAATGACACGTATAACTATTAAATGAGAGGAAAAAGTTTGTTAGGATTTACCAGGAACAACCTTACTTTTATTAATAAGATACGTGGATTTGGGGTCGACAAGTCCGGATACTTAATGTATTTTTTAAACTTGATTATATTATATGAAATGAAAAATAATAAAGATAAATAATTAAATAAATAAATGACAATTATAACTATCAAATGAGCATAAAAAGTTTCCAAATTTATCAGGAGCAACCTTACTTTTATTAATAACATAAATAATTTCTTTATCTTTTTATTATTTTTGGTTTCTCGACGAACATTTTTTTTTTCTCGTTCCTTTTGAATTTTTCCTTGTCTTTTCTTTTTGATTTTAGTTTTTTTTCTAACTCTAACCGTCCGCTACCCACGTGACTCCTCATGGTAGAACCCATGATCTCAACCCCATTACAAACTGTATAATATTAAACCTGATGGAGAACTGCAGTCCAATTCATAATTTATTTTGTATGTCCCACTTCTTGCTGACATCAAAAAGTTCCCATAATTTTTTTTTCTCCTCTTCTTCCTCACCAAGAATTTTCAAGGTACGCAATTGTTTTCCACAGATAAATAATACAAATATTTATTTAATTTTTTTGCATCACATGTGGTAAATTTCACAGCACATAATAATTGCATGCTAATGATGTTCTTTATTTTATTTTATTTGTACAAACCAGGCATAATTGAAGACACTGACTCCCCATAATGTCCATCTCTTTAACCATGGTATTTGTCGTTTTCATAAACCTATTATGCCATTTATTTTTTATTTTGTAGAATCGTTACGTTTTGTGTCTTCACGAGTCACCGTCTGTTAATGTTGGAGGCACAACAATTGTATTGACATTATTCTTATTGTTTCACAAATTGGTGTTCCAATGTCTTTGAGAGAAACGTCGTGTTGAATTTGATTTCACCGCAGCACAATCTAACAATGAATTTGTGAAAGAAGAATCTAAATCAAACTTATCACGTAGTTCAACCTATAGTAAGGAAATTTCACCGAAAGAGTTCTTTTTAAGCTACATATATTGTGACCAGTGTCTGGAGCGTGTGAGAACGTCCGACTTGGTCTGTTGCGCTGGTGTTAAAGTGTATATTTTTACACAGTATCGTACCTTTTTATTTGAGATTTTGGTGCGTTTTAACGATAATTGGTGCTTAAAAAGTTGATTTATTGTATTTTAGGTACAAATTGAAGAATTGGAAAAGTATGGGGTAAAACTGCAATTTTGGAGAAAATATGGGCCAAAAGTGAAAAAGTCAAAATTCTGTAGATTTAAAGCCCGGACGGCCGTCCCTGTTTTAGTTCAAAATATGGGACGACCGTCCGAGATCACGAGGAGACGCAGTAAAGGAATTTTAATTGCACAAGGAAACTGCCCTCTTACCCAAGTTTTCCACCCTATATAAGACCAAACCAAGCACACAATTGGGGATCCATCTTTTACGCAATTTCAAGAGCAACAAAGCAATAACGACGAAGAATTCGAATACTCCAAGCATAGATTTATCGTCTATGATTTATTTTATTTGCGTTTTTACTTTAATCATGAGTAGCTAATTTTCTTATTTCTAGGATTTTATGTTGAACCTTATGTGGGACTTATGAACCCTTTTCTATGATTTTATGCAAGTTTTATTTCCGGATTATTTCTTCTACTTGTTTTATTAAGTGCATGAACTTGATGACCTTATGTGCTTTTATGTTATTGTTAATCGCATGAATCGGAAGAGCGGGTTATTAATTAGAACTGTGGTAGAAGAGCTTTTGTGGTATTAACATAGGAATATAGTTAATCTCTTAGGTATCCATTATTGAGATTTATGCTTAATGTTGTGTTCTAGAATTAATTGCGTAGGAATAAAGTAACTGAATCTAGAATATTAGAATCGTAATACACGCAGAAGCGGGTTATGATTAACTTAGCATCTCAGGTTAATAATCCGAGTTAATTACTTGCAAAATTAAAAGAATTGGGGGAGTAATAATCACATGGGGGGAAATAAAATCCTAGGCTTGTTTTCTCTGATTAATCTTCGTGTTAATTGCTTTCGTTATTTTTATTTTTTTAATTTGCTTTAATTAGTTTAGTTAATTTAGTTAATTATCTGTAAATTCGACTGTGTAGGGTGAGCTTGATAACAATTGGTAGGATTTAACGTCTAGAATTAAATAATTAAATATTATTTGTGGGATCGATACTTGGACTTAAAAGTCCACTTTATTACTTGTACGATACGTGCACTTGCGTGTAGGTATTACACCCAACAGCTGCACGCATTATAATCTCACTACAATGCATCGAGAATGTGTACAAGTAATGGTGGCGGATCAATACAAATTTGATTTTGATAATCCTAGTTGGGGTTGGGTAATTTGTGCAACTAGACTTGCTCTTTTTTATAGATTGTTTGCTGATTGAAACATATATACTGTCGTACATTTGAAGTATGTTTTCTTATTGTAATATTAAATTAACGATGTAAAAAGTTTGATTAATGCAAGTATTAGGTTTTTTTTATTGTAATACTTGATCACCGATGTAAAAAGTTTGATAATGCAATTTAATGTTTTAACATAATTACATATGTCGTTTGCATTGGTTTTGCGTTTATATGCAATTCTACTATGTTCAAGTTTAATATTTAATGATCTCTAATTAAATAGTTTCGATTTTTTAGGTTGTCATATCTTCATTAAACACTAAACTCTTTGTTTCTTTGTTTTTTGTGTTGTTTCAGTTATGTGCTATCACATGTTAACAATAAACTATTATTCAAATTCTAAAATTGATTCTGTTTTTCAGAGAATGATTAATTGTAAGGGGCTATATGCCAAACACCCTTCATTGGGATTTTAATTATTGATAAATCTTTTATTTATGAATGATATTTGAGATAAATCTAATGGGCCTGAAAAACCATATATGCCCCCACTAACTATTAATTAGTATAATTATTTAATTTAAACAAAAATTATATCCATAATCTACACCCAAATCTTCTCCAAAAATTATTCCTCGCGCCAATTCAGTTTTTTTTCTTTTCTTCTTTATTTTGTTTAATCGTTTTCTTTATTTTGATTTAAAAGAAAATTTATAATTAGTTTTTTTTTTTTAATTTTGGTTTTTATTTTAATTTTTTTTTCTTATTTATATTTTTTATGTTTTTTTGTTTTAATTTTAAAAAATGGTTTTATTTTTATTTTTGTTTTTTTTCATGGTTTTTTTTTTTCTTAGTTTCGAATTTTTTTAAAAATGGTTTTTTTTTTTTCTTTCCAGCTTTTTTAAATGAAAACCACTCTATATAAACATGAAAAATCACTCTGTATAAACAACTATATAAACATGAAAACCACTATGTATAAAAACTGCTATATAAACATGAAACCACTATGTATACACAGCTATATAAATATAAAATCACTCTGTATAAACAACTATATAAACATGAAAACCACTCCGTATAAAAACAGCTCTATAAACATAAAAACCACTATGTATACACAACTATATAAATATAAAAACCAATCTCTATAAACAACTATATAAACAAGAAAACCACTCTTTATATTTTCGAAAACCACTATGAAATTATCGAAAACCACTATGACATTACCGTAAAATTCACTATGACATTAAAGCAATGCACATTAATATTGATGTAATTCACTAGAAACTTATCGAAATCTACGTAATTCACAACGAATTAAAGTAATCGACTAAAAACACAACAAAAAGTTAACAGAAAAATTCGGAGAATATAGCGATAAATGGATTAGCCAGACAACACCAGCAGCCGACCCGGCCGACCCGGCAGCATTGGCACAAGAAGTAGTAGCCCGGTTATCTCTGTAACTTAAATTATCTCCATCCAACGTAATTCCACTGCACGGGTTCTTTTTACTGCAGTCTAATTTCACTACAACTTGTGTAGCTGATGTTCGTATATCTTCATATGCCACGTCACTTATCTTCACCCCGACCCCTGTAATAACAAAAACAATAATCCAACAACAACTACTGTTAATTAATATTAGGGATAATTAGCAAGACCCCCCATCTAGGTAAATGAGTTAAGAAAACCCCCCCTCCCAAAAATAATTAGAGAAAACCCCCTTAGTTAGTATTCCACCAAATATTATTTTTAAAATTCCAAATCTACCCTTATTTGTCAATGTATTATTTTGAAACCCTAATTTCTCTCATATTTTTTTTCAGCATCGCCCCTTACCACCACCATTATCTCTCCCCGCCGTCCACCATCTATGCCCATCACCACCACCACTACCTCTCCCGGAAGCTGCGATAGTGACGCCGGGATGGCACCGGCAAAATCGTTGTTCGACAAGTCGAGCGATGTTAGGGTTTGGAGGCGGCTGAGGAACGAAGGGATGTTGCCGGAGAGATGATTGAATCTCAGGTCGAGATATTTGAGATGAGAGAGTTTGGTGATCTCTTTCGGGATTTCTCCGGTGAGATTCGTCGAGTGGAGGTACAGTTCTTCGAGGTATTCGAGGTCGGAAACGGCGGCCGGGATCGGAAGGTGGTTGAGATCGGCGAGTATTAGGTTAAAGAGGATGATACGGTTGGCGGCGCCGCCGCATCAGACGATGTTGTCCCAGTCGCAGCAGTCGACAAGTGGGTCCCAGTCCCATGATGAGATGAGGTTGCTGTTGGGAGGAGTGTTGAGGTCTTTCTTGATTTGTAGGACGGCTTTTTTGTCATTTGGGTGGCACCTCTCTGAAAATGCAGTGTTGGAGAGAAAAAAGAGGATGAATATGGAACAACGGAAGTAGTTCATGGCCATGGCTGAATAATTTGGATTTTTTTTTGTTTTTTTTGTGTAAAATGGAAATTGAGATGGAATACTGTTCGGACAAGAAGAGAGGAAGAAAAAGTCGGCAGGACCTTGGGGCCCGGACGCGCCGCCGACGATGAACCATGTGAAGGCGGAGAGGCAGAGGAGGGGAGAAGCTGAACCACCGGTTCTACGCACTCAGATCTGTGGTACCCAACGTTTCTCGGATGGACAAGGCTTCACTTCTATTTTGCGTCAACAATATAATGATTGAGGATGTTGTCGTTACTCAAGACTGATGTTGCTTCATTGGTGGAGCTGAACATGCTCAAAACCCGATGGGTCCGGCCATTACAGGAGCTCTGGGTGGTGTGGTGACGATGGGGAGGCTGTTTTTGGGTTTTTTTTGGATAGGACGGAGGACGGCGCGTGCAGAGAATTTCGCGCAGGTTGTTACCTTAATCGACTATGTACATGTTCATAGTCGATTACGCTAATCGACTATGCTCTGGTAGTCGATTAAGGTTCACCGACTCCAATTTTTTTTATTTTTTTTTGGATTTTTTGTTTATTGCTTTCAATTGTATAAATCATTCATAATATTTGTATATTTTTTTGTTTTTGTTATATATAGTTGATTTTGTATTTTTTTCGCAGTTGTGATTTGTTATTTTTAGTAGTAGATTCTTAATCGACTATGCTTCACATCAAAGTCGATTACTATAACTGATATAAAACAAAAATTAAAAACAAAAAAAAAAAAAATAATTAAATAATTTCCTTAATCGACTATGAAGCATAGTCGATTAAGGCTTAATCGACTATGCTTCATTGTCGATTAAGAAAAAAATGGGGAAAAAAAAAAAAGAAAAATCGCTGAGCGTGACCCAGTGATAATGTGGCGGGTGGGGGCAAAGCTGGAAAGCATAATGGCTGAAAATGGGTGTGGACTTTTCTCAAATGGACTAAAATATTTTGGGCCTCCCTCAATTAAAAAAATAATGAGGGGGTTTTCTCAAAGAGCCCCTTAATATTAATATTCAAAAAAATTTAGTTGCTTTTAACTTTTTTATATACCTTTTTTTTTAGTAGATTAATTTTTTTTTTCTTTATATACCTGAGTAGGACAATTTTGGTGGTCGGGCCCCGCGGAGATGAAGTCGTCTCCGGTGCCGATGTGCGTGTTCATCACGGTAACTTCTGACGACTGCTGTATGTGGATGCCGTCGGTGTTAGGGCTGTTCGCCGGAGCTGAGATTTTCATATTAACCATTTTCACTTTCTTGCATCCGTCGACAAGAATATGAAACTTCTGGCTGTTCAACGAGGCTAATCCATTTATCGCTATATTCTTCGAATAGTAGAACGCCAACGACTACAGTAAAAAAAGGCATAAGAGGGGCTGTGATGACCCTGATGAGGAATTGAATCTCCGTCGCGGGGCTATGTTGACCTAGATTACGTTGAACCGGTTTCTCTGTAATTAAGGGGCGCAATCGTGGAATTATATGAGGATGTGTTGTTACGATATAATGGGAAAAGATATTACAAATCTTTTTTAATTTTTTTTTTATTTCCAATTATAAAAGGGGAAACTACAGATAAATACCTAATCCAAAACACAAAACACAGATCAGTCCCTAGGTAGTTTATCCAAGCAAATCAGTCCCTACTCACGCGTCTAATATGCAGATCAGTCCCTAATGTGAATTTAATATATTTTATTATATTCTCTTTCTTCTTTTTCACTCTCACCATTTTCTCTCTCTTCATCTTCTCTTTCTTTATTCTCTTTCTTTCTTTCTATCTGCTCTATTTCTTGTCTCTTTCTCTCCTCTGGTTTTCTCTTTTTCTGACGAAAAAATCACTGTAAAACCCACCCACCCCACAATGGCTACAAATGATGTACCTAATGATGTTCCCACTGTGATTCTTGGAAGTTGTCGATACAAAGATCAACTTCACATTATTTCCATCAAAAGTAATTCGACCTTAATGGAGATATATGGTGCTATTATCAACAAGTGGAATCATATGCATCCAGATGCACTGATCCTCCAATACTTGGCTCCTCGGGAAAGATTGTATGTGAAATTGGGTAGTGATGAAGATGTGGAGAATATGGTTGCATTGCATCTGATAATGAAGATGAGTGTGGTCGACATTGTCGTGATCTGCAAAGATGAAGCTAATTCGCGTGGAAAGAAGGTTCGCACCGATGGCTGGTAGGTCTCCATCATTTTATGTACTGCTGAAATTCATTTCTTTATGGTTGTTAATTATTGTGTGATACATAGTATAGAATATGACACGTAATAGTATCATGCTAATATAATTGTGGTATGGACGTATGGTACTTATAGTACGTAATGGTTCTTCGTATAGTATGGGTGATAGGTAAATTTGGTACTGTTTGTACTTTATCATTATGTGATTTGTACTATGTTGATTAAAACTTTGTACTATGTTTCAATTTGCACTATGCTTTTTCTATTTCTATTTTGTACTATGTATTATGTACTCTGTTCATTGATGGTTTATTATTTTCAGTCTAATGATACTATTTTTATTTACACATGGTACCGGTATTAGATATGAGATATGATGGTATGCCTGTTGTTGGTTGATGGTTTATCATTTTAAGTCTAATGGTACTATTTTTATTTACACATGGTATTAGATATGCGATATGATGGTATGCCTATTGTTGCTTGATGGCATATCATTTGCAGTATAAAGGTACTGATTTTATTTACGCATGGTATTATCTATGGGATATGCTGGTATGTCTTATGTTGGTTGATGGTTTATCATTGTCGGTATAAATGTACTGATTTTATTTACCCATAGTATTATCTATGAGATAGGATGGTATGACTTACTCAATTTATGGCCGTTACAAACTAATATAGACGTTGCTTATTTTCAAAAGTAATCAAGTCGTAATAAGAGCATAAATGACACATAGGCTCATTTGTTTCTCATTCATGGCTTCTTCGAGTAGCACCACTCAAATGAGTGGGTTAAAATACAAAAAATGGAAATGCAAGCGTCTTGATTGTGGGAAGAAAACAATAATCATGATTTCAGAAACTATTTCGAATCCCGGAAGGTTATTTTACTGTTGCCCACACCATGGCTACTCCCATTGGTGTGAACCATTTGAAGTTGGGCAAACGTTTTCCCACAACAACTCAAATCGTGAAGAAAATGAAGTTACAAGTCGTCGATGAACCAAGTCCATCAAGAAAGTGAAGTGAAGAATTGCAATTCCAAAGGTGGAGTAGTTCAGAGTTTGATAGTGTTGAATCTAGTAATATTTGCAGTCTACATGCTATGTAAAACCTATGTACTGTTGTTTAATTAGTGAACATAAGAGTACGGTAAAGTTAGGGTTATTCGTGAATATAGTATACTATGTTCACCAAATAAGTACAATGTATAAGCTGGTAAAGTTCGGGTTATTCGTGAATATAGTACGCTTTGTTCACCAAATAAGTACAATGTATAAGCTGGTAAGGTTCAGGTTATTCGTCAATATAGTACGCTTTGTTCACCAAATAAGTACAATGTACAAGCTGGTAAAGTTCGGGTTGTTCGGCAATAGAGTACGCTTTGTTCATCAAATAAGTATAATGTAAAAACCGATAAAGTTCGGGTTATTCGTGAATATAGTACGCTTTGTTCACCAAGTAAGTTTAATGTATATACTGGTAAAGTTCGGGTTGTACGTGCATATAATACGCATAGTTCATCAAGTAAGTACAATGTATAAACTGGTAAAGTTATGGTTATTCATGAATAGTACGCTTTGTTCATCAAGTAAGTACAATGAATACACATGTGAAGTACAAGTTATTCGTGAATATAGTATGCTTTGTTCATTGATAATGTATATGTTTGCCATTCATATAGTATTGTTACACTTTATATATTATTGTGGGGTCAATGCATCCATATAATCCAATTTTAAGACACAATTCTTCATTTAAAGACTATTAGAAGTGAATAGAGACAATGTGGAAGTCGATCAATATCGATTATGGTAATATTTGAGGAAAATATTAGCTTTACACTTGAGCATTTTACACTTATATGAGTATCTTGTATAGTATATGAGTATCATGTATGAAATTCAACATATTTATGGGATCTTGTATTCCAAACGCAACAATAATGATCACCTACCTTAGAATAATCATCTAAAACATAATTTATGCATCTCCCATACTTATTGATCATTAAAGTGTCAATGAAATTGGTACAATTCAATTCATCACAAAATATGGTACGCTTTGTTCATCAAGTAAGTACAGGGAATACACATGTGAAGTAGAAGTTATTCGTGAATATGGTACGCTTTGTTCACTGGTAAAGTATATGTTTGCCATTCATATAGTATTGTTACACTCTATATATTATTGTGGGGCCAATGCATCCATATAATCGCACTTTAAGACACAATTCTTCATTTTAAAACTATTAAAAATGAATAGAGACAATGTGGGAGTCGATCAACATCGACTATGGTAACATTTGAAGAAAATATAAGTTTTTCGTGAATACACATCAGAAGTACAAGTTATTCATGAATATAGTACGCTTTGTTCATCAAGTAAGTACAAGTCTAGTGAGGACAAGGTATCTTCGAATAGATTAGAAAGTACTTGTTGCTCATTTTTATGGTATGCTTATATTCTTTATACAAACTCAATTCATCGCATAATAAAGTACCATGTGTTCAAAAGGTAAGTACAATTCATCGAAACATATAGTACGATGTATACAATGGAAAAGTACGAATAGAGCTAACCAATAGTATTATTAGCTCTACAACAAAAGGACATATTGTTTATGGCACAAAAACACATTCATCTGTTTATGAAAAAGAAAAAAACACAAAAACCCCAAACACTTACACTCCCAGATTTTTCACAATAAAGTTACATCTCTTTCATCTTTAGCTTCCACTTCTACTCCCCGATGCCTCTGAAAGATAATTGCTAGTTTAGGGCGAAGTGTTTTGATATCGCAAGTTTTTGCCTTAAACCAAATATTTGTATTGTCTACAGTATGACAATATGCCCACAAGCAGACAAACAAGCCGTAATTCATACACATAAAAGTACAATTATAACAAATACAACGTACTATAAAGTTCCACTACTAGTAATTTCGTTCAATACCATTGTTGGATATGACCCATACTACATTAGAATCAAACATTATACTTCGAGTACCCTTTGTCAATACCATTCGAATGCACTAGCAATACCATTCACATGCACTAGCAATACTATTGGGGCATATGACACGTACTACAGAACCATCAAACATTATACTTCCAGTACCCTTGTCAATACCATCCAAAGTCACTAGCAATACCATTCAAAGGCACTAGCAATACTATTGTGGCAAATGACACATACTACAGAACCATCAAACATTATACTTCCAGTACCCTGTGTCAATACCATCCAAAGTCACTAGCAATACCATTCAAGGCCACTAGCAATACTATTGTGACATATGACACATACTACAGAACCATCAAACATTATACTTCCAGTAGCCTGTGTTAATACCGTCCGAAGTCAAGAGCAATACCATTATTAGGACTAAATGCTTTCGGGACAGTACTTCGAGTACCCTGTGTCAATACCATCTAAATACACTATTAATACCATTACTGCGCATGACACATACTACGAACCAGTACGAAAAATACAGTAAGCCTCTTTTCCATATCCCATATGAAACCCTTGTTAGGACTCAAAATGTTGTGGGGACATGCTAATGTAGACACGGCCCCGGGTCGGGTCGGGTCCGGGTCCGAGTTTTGGAGGACCCGAAACCGACCCGCGGGGAGGCGGGTCCACTCGGGTCCACCCGGGTCCAGGTCAGTTCCGGGTCGGGCCGGGTCCGAACCGGATTTTGAAACTTTTTCCAAAATATGCTTGGAATGGGGTTCGAACTCTGGTTTCCTTCACATGAAAATGCCAATCCAAACCAGTGAGACATGGCCATTGTTTGTGAAATTACTTGCAAGAAATATATATAACAATAACAAATAGTGTAAAATGATTATAAAAATAATGTTTAATGGATTATTAATTATCATATTCATAATTATTAAAGAATTTTAATTAAATTATTCACAAATATAATATAATAAAAAAATTAAAATAAATTGAAAGAACTTGAGCTTAATCCATTTAAATCTTACGATTCAATTCTAATATTTGAATAAAATGTATATGTAAAAAAAAGGATTAAATCATATGATCTACAATTTAATTCTTACGATTTTTACAAATTAAACCAATTATTAAAAGAGAAACTACATCATAATATTTTGAATATAGTAGTCATATATAATATTATTTTTAAAGTAAGAAAATTAATTGAATTGAGATATAATCTATTTTTTTAAAATAAACATCATTTATATTTTTAAATAATTATCTTATGATAAAATACTCAATAATATTAATAAGTTCTTGTCAACAATTGAGGTTAATCGATTTAAATTCATTGAAATGAGTTATAATCTATTTTTTTTAAATAAACATATTATTTAATTTTTCATTCGATTTTTTCACACTGTCGATTTTAATAACAAAAGTGAGTTTGTATTATGTATACGCATTTGATTAAATATTGAATTGATTCAATCCTATATATTTTTCAATAGTGGAGATTATATTGATAAAGTAATTAATAATGGATGTTTTGAAGTATTGAACCGTGCTTTTATATATATATATATATATATATATATATATATATAAAGATATATAAATATATATATATACATATATACATATACATATACATATATATAGATATATATATAGAAATATATATATATATGATATATATATATATATATATCTATATATCTATATATCTATATATATGTATCTATATATATATATATATATATATATCTCTATATATCTCTCTGTATCTATATTTCTCTATATATATATATATCTATATATATATATATATTTATCTATATATATAAAAATATATATATATAT